CTCTCTCTTTCTCTGTCCGCAGGGTTATTTGGTAAATTACAGATTACTGTCCTCTTTTAATCTCTCTCTCTTTGTTTCTTGTATATTTGATTTCTCATTTCATTTTATCTTTCAAAGGCCCTCTCCCTTCCTCCCATTGCTCAAGTGGGTGTTTTTGTTTTCTTCTTTTCTCTTTCTCCTTTCTCTCTTTCTTTTCTTGAGAAAGGAGAGGAGAATAGCTTCAAGACTGCTTTTTCATCCGTTTTTTGTGGTCTAATCCCTTTATTTTCTTGTTAAGATTCTTTAGATCGATCAAGGTCTTTCATTTCCATCCGTTAGGTGAGCTCTTTGGGTTTACTTTCAGGTTTATTTTTGCTTGATCGGTTGATGGTCAGATGAGATATGGAGGATATTCTCTCTCGCTTTTATTTCTCCTGATTTTCTTGGTTGTTTGGCTTTATTGGGTATTTTCTTTCAAAGTTTTGATTTTTATGTTGTTTTTTTCTTTTCAAAATCTGCATATTCTTTTCAGGTCTTGCCTGTTTGTATTTAGAGTCTGTTATTTTTGTTCCGTGTTTCCACTGGATGTTTGATTGTCGAAGCTGTCGCTTATAAGAGCGGATTTGTAAAGAGATGGCGCTGATAGTTGCCTTGTTTGACCTTAGATTCCCTATTGCATTTTGTGGTTATGTTTGATTTAGTTGTGTTCTGTCTTTCTTCTCTTCTGTTATCTTTTTGTATGCTGGCTTTGGGGGTTGGGGGTGCTGAGGGAACATATGTAAGAGATAACTACAGCTGGAAAGCCTCTTCCTTGTTTATGCGTTCAGTGTGTTTCTTTTCTTTGTATGTCTTTGCCTTTTGTTCTATATGGCGAAGCGTGGATGCTCTAGCCTTATTTACTGTCTGTTTTAGTTTTGGTTTGTTGCTGGATAACTTCTGCTTCTGGATGCTCATTATTGTTTGGTTTTGATTCCCTGAAATGTTTTAAGTTTGCCAGATTTAGTTTCTCAGTGCCCTTTTGGCTTGGGATTACTTCACATTAGGATTGGTTACTTGACCTTGCTGCTAGCTGCACATTTACTGGTCTTTGTTGATGCTATGCTGCACTGGGTGAATCGGTGTCTTTGTTAATTTAGTTACATTGTCTAAACTCTCAGGTTGAGAGATCACTTGGCTTAATTAGTTACTTCTTATTTTTCCCACTGATTACTGCATTTCTGCATAATTTCATGCCGCTGTCTTATTTCTGCATCCTTATCATTATCCTCCCTATTAACTATTAGACATTAGATTTTAGATGCAGTTGCCTGTCCTTTGGTGTTCTCTGTTTATGTGATATTTGTTTGTTCTGTGTTTTCCAAAAAGCTGTAAGTTTCTTATCATTTTGAATCATGTATTTTTGAAGATTCCAAGTAACATTTGCATGTATTGTCTGCCCCTGTGAATAGTTGGATACTTTGTTTGAAACAATTGGTTCCTTATGTCAGAGGGGAATAATGTCCCTGTAAGGCAACAAAAATCCTACTTCAACTACTCTCTTTCTAATAGATACATGAAAATGGATTGAAACATATTTATATTATATGGTCGTGTATTTTTATACACGAGTACTTTGTCTAGTAGCAATTCCAGTGTCATGGTTTCTCTCTCAGTTTGATGTGATGATTGGTAGACTTACAATGTGTATTGGAATATTCTTCAGGACTTCACCATAATTTGTACCGAAGTTCATTCAAGCCCTAATGCAGGGGCAGAGGGGTACTGTCGGTTCCTTGCCCGAAACCTTTTTTGATCATGGCTCGACATCAAGTAATTCTGCTATAGACCCGCAGGTGTGCTGGAATAATATTCGAAATCCTATAGAAAACCGACTGCCTGATTGTTTGCTGTCACCTAATGACATGAACATTACATATGTGAACTCTATTGGTCGAGAGGAGCAGGAGCTGGGCAGATGGAGCTTGGGAGAGCCTAGCTCTAGTGGCACACAGAATGAGGTAATTCGTAATGAGCAGAAAATAGACCATGGATGGTCATCTTCCATGAGTGCTTCCGCAAATACTGGTCCCAGATTAGAAGAGCGGCGGTATGAACAGAGCCCTCAACTTGTTCAAAGTCCCAACGCTGAGACTGTTCCCCAGAATCTCAACTTAAATGCAGGCTTAGTGGGTCATGGTGATGATATCTGTCAAGTTACAGAACGATCTAATCTATATAAGACTAGTGGATCTGAAAATGAGCGGATTTCACCTGGTGCTGGTCCTGAAGCTTTTCTACTTTCTTCTGGAAGTGGTGGGTACGCTGTGGATGGTAATAGTAGCAGACCTGGCTGCTCATATGAGGGTCGACGTGCGTCCTGCAAAAGAAAGGCTCTTGAAGGAAATGTTGGGCAGTCCTCTTCGAGTGGAAGTTCTAGCTACGTTCATCGTGCAGAAAGTAGTGCATGGCATGGAGTTTCTGCGAGCTATAATGCAGGAAGCAGTGTGAATATATCTGTCCCCTTAGGACAGGCACACCCTAGACTTGGATTAGATGTAAGAGGATCAGCTTCTGACAGCATTCCTGAACCAATCGTTTTACCAACTGCAGAGAGCTCACGCAGGAATTTCCGGCCGAGAGTAAATCCTTCAAGTATACAAGAACCTATTGCCCCTCCTATATTTTCTGCAGGTGATATGGCCAGGCAGGCTGTTGTTTCAACTTCACAGCAGTCATCAGGACTTCTTCCAACTGATCATTCTCTGGACTTACAGTCAGCACCAGTGGTAAATAATGCAAGTCCTCAAGACCCGAATGTCTTAATTCATGTTCCATCCTTGCCGCGAAATGTGCAGCCATTTAGGTGGAATGGAGGTTCTGGCTCAAGAACTGGCAGTTCATCAAGTTCTAATGTATCTGGGGAGAGAGATGTTGTACCACGAGAGGAACATCAATCAAGAAGCATGGCTAGAAACCTATTAGATCATCCTATGTTTGTTCCTGCACCTGAGGTGAGAACTGTAGTTAGGAATCCAACAAATCGAGGTTTAAACAGTGGAAATATAAGTGTTTCTGGAAATGTTGCTTCTACATCTCGTGCTGGCTCAAGTTCTGGTGCCAATGCATCGTCTGCTTCCACATGGGTTCCTCATCCCAACCCCTCTACGCAATACCCTCGGAGATTGTCGGAACTTGTTCGTCGATCATTGATGTCTACCTTTGGTGCTGAGTCTGGGGGGCAGGGCAATCATTCTTCACTTTCTCCGGGACCTCCTTCTCCAGAAGAGTTGCTACTTTCCTCTGGAGTAGCTAATCAGGGGCACCATCGTCCATATCCTAGGTCAATGTCATGGTTGGAGAGGCAAGATGCTGGTTTGCTTGGAATTCCCCATTCACTTCGAACTTTAGCTGCTGCTACTGAAGGAAGAAGCAGGCTTGTTGTGTCTGAGGTAATTGTAATAGTTTTCACATTTCCCTTCAAATTCAAACATAACAAGGAATAGTCTTTATTCACTTAACTTTCTTACCACTTGATTTGCTCCCATTCTAAATGTGACAGTATAGCACATGCCTGGTATAGATATAGGAGAAACTTTGTCACCTTGCATAATGATGCAATGCTAATTGTTTAGAATAACACGCATATATTGTCTTTTTCCTTAGTTACATTTGTTTGAAAGACGTGTCATTGGGTGTTGTTATTCCAAAATGCTTGCATTGTTCTATGTATAAGTCATTCATGTTTTGCACCTTGGTCTTCATTTTGATCGCACAAAAGTAAATGCCAGCTATCTTGTGAAGTTTTCTTTTAACCTGCATACAACTGATTTTTAACATTAAATTGTCTTCGCAAAGAACCACTTAATTGGAGCTGACAGTGTGCGTTAATTTTATGGGCCAGATTCGCAATGTCTTGGATCTCATGCGAAGGGGTGAGAACTTGCGTTTTGAGGTAAGTTTTTTTATTATTTAGGGTGTAATTTGATGTGGTTCTATCTTTACCAATTGAAACATGGAATAATGAAAAAATGGCTATTGCTTTTATTGTTCATATATTGTTGCTATGTTCATATAGGTAGCTTTCTTCAAATTTGAGCTTGTTACGGGCAAAGGGTGGCCATGTAATGTAGGATCTGAGTGTTGTTTGTTGAATTAAATTTACTTCTGACAAAACTAGTGACGTTTTCTCTTTTAATTCTGCTTGTATGGCAGGATGTTATGATCCTTGATCAATCAGTAATTTTTGGGGTAGCTGATATTCATGATCGGCATAGAGATATGCGGCTCGATGTTGATAACATGTCGTATGAGGTAGTTCTATATTCCTGGCATCTACTGTCCTTTCTGAGTTTGGAAAATTGTTCTCACCGTAGAATTGCTTTGTGTGGGTAATAGGAGTTATTGGCTCTGGAAGAGCGCATTGGTAATGTGAGCACAGGGTTGAGTGAAGAAACTATATTAAGCCGTCTGAAACGGCGAAAGTACTCCACTGCACCAGTAACTCAGTTAGAGGCAGAACCATGTTGTATTTGTCAGGTAATGATTTTTCTCATCTGTGCAGTTCTTTACTGATTCTATGAGCCCCTTAAATAATTGTTTACAAACATGCAGGAAGAATATAATGATGGACAAGATCTTGGAACACTGGAATGTGGCCACGACTTCCATGCTGATTGCATTAATCAATGGTTGATGCACAAAAATTTGTGCCCCATTTGCAAAGCAACGGGTCTGAATAAATGAGACAACCATTGGTTTTCAGGAAACTAGTTATTCCTCAGGTCAGAGGAAGAAAGACTGGAATTGCAAATTTGTGGCTTCTGTAATCATTGAACTTGATCCTTCAAGTGTTGCCATATGTAGCCTTTACAGTTTTTATCCTGGGATGGTCCATGGCCCTTCTAATTCAATAGCCGGAGGCATTTTTAAAGGCAAT